CCGTTTGCGTTCGTTATTCCGTTTAGTGAGTTGCACAGAAGGGATCTCTTTTCGGAAGCCGATGATGGAGTGGTTGGATAAGGGGATGGGTTTGTAGAGTTGGTGGAGAAGGTTATGTATAGATTGGGTGTTTGATATAAATTCGTTGTGTAGTTCGACGACGCATAACTTGTTCTCATATACATCTAACTTTTCCACGATAGAATTTTATAGTATGTGAATCTGATTTAATTAAAGAATAAGACGTCGTAGTGTTTTGTTGATTTTCATTTGGAAAGGTTTTCTGTAATGTATTAGTCGAGTTTGGTTTCATTGTTGTGATTTTGGAGTGAGAGCAACTTATAATTTTAGTTTTATGTTATCATTATGTGATACATTAGTTGAGTTTACGTGAATTTTGAAGAAATAGTCTCGTTGATTTGCAAAGAAAGTGGTGTATGATTTCGGGTTTCTTACGTTATAAAGTCGTAACGTATAGCGAATGTAACGTATAGTTCTATTTATGTTTACTGTATATGACGTTCAATCATAAAAGTTGTCGGGATGTAAGTGGTGGCGTCATGGGAAAATGTTTGTGACGTACTTTATAACCTTAATGCTTATTTCAGGTATTTTCATAATATGGTACAGTTCATGGGTGTGCGATTATTAATTGTTTGTTGATAACATGTTTAGATCTACGTGTGAGAAACTAATTTTGATAAAAGCAGGTTAAATAATGATAGGCAACCAACTGTTATTGCGCTGTAACCATTCACATGCATATCGTAATGAGGGATGGTATCAGAAGCGGGACAAATCTGCTTGTTGTAAGAAAGTGCCTAGCATGCCCGAATATAGAGTCAATGCTCTCCAATTTTTTTGAATATTACATTGTCCTGTTTAAAGTTCGATATTCGACGAATGGATTAGCTCCTGCAGATCGGCCCAACTGATGTGAAGATAAACGGGTGAGTGATATTTTCTTTTCGCGTACGGAACGTCTTCGATACATGCTGGTATTGAGGTAAGCCTACGACTTAGCCGTTCGTCACTGCATACCGCAATTTTTTGTTGGATTATTTAGGCGTAAGTAAGTGATGTTTCAGAAAAAGACAATTCGAAAGGGTATCATTTATAATTATCCATTTGGTCGAATGGATAATATGGCAAGCGTAGTAGGAATATGGAATACACGGAAATTGTGCAAAGTCGTCCGTCGTTAGTAAGATGGTTCAGAATTCTACATAGTGCAGTGTAAGGACGCCAATGCAAATAATTGTTATTTACTGTGAATTTAATTGTTGCTACTAATGGATGGTTTGTGAGCAGACATAGTATCGTTTGTATCGACATGCGTAGACCATGGATTATTATTCACATTGAAGACCGTTTCGTTTGCATCGAGAGCAAAGACATGGATAACGTGAGACATTTGATTAATTGATTAATTAATAATGAGGTTAGAGAATGTTTATTAGTTGGAGACTTTTTGAAGACTTTTATATATACCCTGTATGATTAAAATATACATTGATCGGGGGGTTTGTTTTCCAAATAAAACTATAACGTAGCAATTGTTATCTATAAAATGCCAGTACCTATCGGCAGTATACCAGTAATAATAACGTATTTATGACATAGCTTATTGAGAATTATCAGTAATAGAAATATATAAACAAATTTATATGATTATGTCCTTATTGAAAAGAAAGGTATGTGTAGCCGTTATCGGTAGATTAGGAATAATATGAACAAGGTAACGCAATTCTGACATTTATTATGACGTTTATTTACAAGGGAAATGATCGTGGTGACTCTAATATGACGAGCTACAATCATATGGGACAAAGGCAATTAAATAATAGTAAAACTATTTGATAAATTATATCGATATCGGCGAAGCGTTTTTTTTTTTTACTATTGGTTATACTTTGTTTGTTTGTTTTTTCTTGAAGCGAAAAAGAAAAAGAAATGAAAAAAAAATAGTAGACAGGGCTTAATATTTAATCTTGAAAAAGGTATTATTATGATAGCGATTATTATTTACTACGGTATACTATTATTTCATTTATTACTTTTCATCAAGAGCGAAATTATAATTAAATTTTTTTTTATATTGAAGCTTGTCGATAGAATAAAATACTGCGTCACATTTTATAATAGATGCATGGTTTCGAGGGCGGAGGTACGATAGGAGTATATAAAATTGGTCGAATAAAATTTCCAAAAATCTTACCAGTAAAAGTAATTAAATGCTGGTGCGAAATATTAATTTGAAAAGATAATCAGAAACGGCGAATGAAATGGTATCAGGTTAAGATCGTGTGTCAAGTGATGAAGGGAAAATTTTACTATACGGTAATCATGTACATGCCACAATTCCCTAATAAACCATGGCAGGTGCGCCCAAAATTTTGTTTCTAGTTAATTAGAAATTTTACTGTGACGGAAAGATGGCAACTGTGAAGACATATAAGCAACTATTATCCCTTTGTCTAGTACTATCTCATGTTATGTTGTGTTAATCAGGCTTATCTTATCTACGGAATAATGAACAATTTATTTTTCCTTTCTTCTCATCGTTGATTATTGAAATATTTAATTATTAAAAACGGACAATGCTTATTGCAATCAAAGTGATGAGACAGAGTAACAGAGCGTAAGGCCAGTAAAAGTTTGTCCGTATAGTAAGTATGTGAAAACGTATAGTTATTAAATAGTATTCGACGACGATAATACTTGTTTAAAATTTGTTTAATTAATTTTAAATAAAAGTGACTAGCCAAAACACCAAGTCAAAGCATTGCCCTGTTTTAAATTAAGAAAGTTTTCCTTCGATTTCATATAATAGTATACGCTGTCAGTATTATTCGTGAATCCCTACTTGGATACAAACGTTGGATATAAGGATTAGGAAGCGCGCGTAATTAATTAAAACGTCACTTATAGAGACTGGGACCGAGACAGAGACCGAGACAGAGATATGGACAGAGAAATGGACAGAGACCGCGACAGAGAGACAGAGATAGAGACAAGGACAAGGCAGTAATAGCTGAGCTAATTGAGAAAAAATTCACCTGTCGGCCGAACCGCTTGCAGTTCGCTTTTCCAAAATTTCCCTAATTAAATACGCCGACCATAATAGTATTGATATATGGCAGCAAATGGTTTTCAAAATGGCTATCTACTCTTTTAATTTAGTTCTCTCATTTAATATTATGAAAGGACAAAACCATGCTTCCCAAACAATTATTGACTCTTGACCGGATTTTACTGCGGGAATAAGACTGTGTCATATTAATATTCTCATGTAATCTTCTCTTCTTTAAATAGTCAAACTTTGATTCATTACTCCATATACTTTCGCATTTATTAATATTAACAACAAAAAACAAAACAAAAAAAAACACGTGCCGAACGTATAGCTTGTTTACATTAAAACTGTTTCTCATGAAAATTGTTCATTATGTCCAGGCACTGTAGATCTAATAGCACTTGGTGAGGGAGGGTAGGAGATAGTGGTGGTGACAGAGTTGTGAGTGCACTTGGGGGTAGTAATCAGACGGTCTTTGTTCCCATTTACTAGGTCCTCTTGCTTCTGCATTGTCTGCTGATGTATAGAAAGTCGTGTTGACCGTTGAGCGGGTCACGAATGACATGTAAAAAAAAAGGACCCGGGAAGACCGAGACGAGTGATAAAAACGAGATGGCCGTCATATAAATGCGGAAAGGAACAACTTTAAAAGAGTGGATAAAGTTTGTTCGCGAAAAAAAAAAAAGAATCGGACGAGTGATAAAAACGAGGTGGCCGTCATATTAAACGCGGGAAGAGGACAATCTTAAAAGAGTGGATAAAGTTTGTTCGCGAATGATGAAAAACGAGATGGCCGTCATATTAAACGCGGGAAGAGGACAGTCTTAAAAGACTGGATAAAGTTTGTTTTTCGACCAAAGTCGATGGACAGTTGTGGCCTTTTAAATCACGGAACTGCCGATGATTTATTTGTCCAACAATATTTCTAGAAAAATTATCCATAATTTCTTCTTCGAAACAATATTTCCAGCAAAGTATCCATGATTTCTTCCGATGCAACCAGACCTTCCCGGACGGCTACTGATGAAAATTCGGTTGACACCCGTACTCTTTTAGCTCGCGGCGGAACAACTCTTAAAAGGCTTTGTCGGAACTGGACTGCCGATAATAAATGTTGGAATCCATTGTGGCTGTTTGCGTCCGTGTCCGCCTGCTCTCCGGAGTGTATAACGTCGGCTTAAATCCCCGTTCTCGACTTATGCTCTGTGCGGCGGTAGTGAAATGAGGGTTCTTTGAAGCGTATACCCCAGCGAAACCCTCGCCGAACTTGATTATGTATATGAAATGTCTAAAACTTAAGTGTTTGCGGGGTGAAGTGTGGTCCTAAATCCTAACGTCTTTTGTTTTCTCATGTGACTTAAATCTCCGTTTATTGGTGTATCATAATACAATGGATAAGATTACGAATACTTTATGAAATCTTACAAGTACACGAGGGTTCGTCAACCTCATTGATGTCATTAAAGAAATTTCGAAAATTCCCTTTATTAAAATTCTTTCTACACTTGATAAAGTCATGGTTCTTGAATCGGTGGAACGATGATGGCTTCGATTTCCGTGAAATATTACAATTCAACGAAATGTCTTTTCACCTTCTTAATCTTCATTGTCAGCCTTAATTACATCACTATCGTTATCAGATTCGAGCGTTTGCAATGGGCCTAATTACATTTAAAAAAGATCATATGAAATTGATACCTGAAAAGGGTATATTCCTCTCGCCGTGCAATCGCAAAGAAAGACCTCCACCTCTTTGTCATATCTTTCCTCACAAAAAGCTTCCCCTGCTCTGACAGTATCGCCGTCGCTGACGCCTTGGTGAAGAATTCCTTATGAATTTTCTGTGTACCTTCCAAAATCTTGACTTGCAAGTGTTGATGTATTGTTATAATATACAGTATAATCATAAATATTCTCTCAAACTTTATAATTTCGATTTAAAATTGTCCTTATTCTCCTTCGTAGCAATACCAACAACGCCACGATTCACAAATTCATCAATCTCTTCATCCGCGTATCCGAGCTCTTTCAATATGCTCTTACTATCCCTTCCACGTGGTAATAACAATTCTTCCGCCGTTATTTCATTATGCTTTGTTATGTCAGCAGAACCGTCATCGTTCTTAGACTTATCCCGTCGAGTACACAAGGCTGGCGAGTCTGATAATATAGGTGCGGGCGCCGGCGGGATTGTCACCACCCCTTCTTCGATTCCTACTACTGGAGTAACGCATGCATCTTTCCCGTCAAATATTTCACACCATTCAGCCCGCGTTTTTGACAGAAACACGGATGTAAACAGAGTTTTCATCTGTGGCCAAGAAGAAGTGTCATATTGTTCGGGAAGCGATTCCGGAGCAAGATTCAGAAGAACTACAAGCGTTTTGTAAAATTGTGGCTCTAATGCACCACTTTACGAACAAAGGGGTTGTGTTATGAGTTTAGTAAAGCAATTATAACGAGTAGCAACTTGATTAATCCGTTGATACTTACACCGCCATGTGTTTCCCATCTTTTGTTTCGTATACTTGATAAAAATGAGCACCGCCATCAAGTGCATTCTTTCCTCGCGGATTTATGAAATGGAGATTGGCTTGTTTGAGCATATAGGGAAAAGTCGATATGTATGATACACCTTGAGTCTTTATATGAACGTGAAAGTAAGTGAGCAACGCAAGTAGATGAACAAATTGTGACGAAACCAGTTTCCATCGATAGACTCTTACTTACCATTCCAGCATCAATTACTTGTCCGTTTCCGGTTCTGTTTCGGTGCAACAATGCAAGCAGAATTCCAAGGACGCACACTATGCCACCGCCTGCGAAATCCGCTGTGAGAAGCCAAAACCAATTTGGTTGATATCACATTAGTTTAGCATCGAAAAAGGAAATCGTTGATGAATGCATTAGTTACCCAGCAAGTTCAAAGGAAACGTCGGTTTCTCGTTTTGTCGTCCAAGCATCTGAGAGTAAGGGTTACGTGTTTAATTGACAAACACAAGAATTAATTGTTTGATCGTGATAAGTAACGTTCTTACAGATAATATTCCGGACACTGCAATGTAGTTGATGTCATGACCGGCCATGTTGGAATATTTTCCTATAAGGGTCATTTGTTGTAGAAAAAAATGTTACATTTTCGATATTAGAATTCGATTACTCATTCTTTGTCATGTCACTCCCCTCCTTTCTCTTACCATTCTGTCCAAATCCACTGATTCGGGCATATATCAACTTGTTGTTTTCTTTACGCATACACTCAGGACCCAATTTCAACTTTTCCATGACTCCCGGTCGAAATGTATCGATAAGCACATCTGCTGTGCATATAAGGCGTTTGATGAGTTGATATCTTTGCGGATGTTTAAAGTCTATTGCTATCGATCTCTTGTGTCTGGAATATGTTGTTGGCCGAGTTGAGAATTCGGAGCGATTGATGGGGAAGCAATTTTACAACGATTGGTGGCGTTTTTTGCAGGCTAGTGCTGTTATAGTATGCTTAATTAATTACCTCGTTAATACATCTATGGAGGTCCCTGGTAATAGGTTATCTACTCTGATCACGTCTGCACCAAAGTCTGCTAGCACCATGCCTAATTATAGATTGATGTCATAAAAATCAGTCATTGACCGACTGTAGGTTGTACCTTCCTTTTCTATACACACCTGCAAATGGTCCTGGAGCCAATCCAGCTATTTCAATAACCTTTATACCTTTCAAAGGATACATTTGAAGAGATAAAGTATAACGTGACACAATATAATCTGCACTTGGTAAAATCTGGTAAAAACTTGTAAAATTCTATAATATTGGGTAAATCCATTCTATCCCATTTTCGTGTTCATATCACATAATACCGTCAATACCGTGTCTTGCAAAAAGTTCTGATTACAAAAAGAAGCTACACGAACTATATTAGTAAACATGCTTCGCATTCCCATACTAACAGACTTTGGTTAAACAGCCAAGGATATAGTAATCGTTATCAAGCATAGCGCTATCTACATGAATGTAGTAACAGAATCCACATTTGAGACGCGGCACTTTTTTAATATTGTGATCAAAAAACTTTTCAAACGCTGGATCAGCTGCTTTAATTATGAGGAATCATAACAACGAATGTCTCATATTCATCACATTCATTATTCACTTTATCAATCCCAAGTTCATACAAAACTTATCCAACACTTGTTCGTGTTGTCAGTTCAAGTATCACACATCCTAATGTTATTCAACCAAGAGCAAGAATAATTCCAAGGCTCACTTCCAAAAGCTACCCACCAACGAAGATATCAACGAGTGCAGATGTAAACAAAAGTAACGTATCACATGCACAGACATCAATATGAATGTCGAATACAGATCCGGCTTCCTTATCCATCAATTCTCATGTAAAATAGCAGACAGTATGTCAGGAGTCCATCTCAGCTTAAGCTGGCTCTCTTTCCTCGTTCTTACCATTAGACAAAGCTTCACGGTAAAGGACAGTCGTAAATCAATTGACAGTTTGATACGATCCTCCTTGGGCGATCTCAAACGGATACCGCACTCACAGTTTATTAAAAGTCAACCGACATCTGACCAAATCGTTCACTATGCACGAACACGGGATGATGAGACGATGTTGTTATTATTGCTTGGAAGCACAAAAAAGTGTACCCCAGCATTTATGAATGAACTTGCCAGAAAATACTTCCGACGCCCCCACCGGAGGAGCAATCTAATAATAACGATCGATTCAAAAGGTATCGTGATTGGGTTTACATTCGTAATAGCATGATAAAGGGATTTACCCAAGATGGTGGTAACTACTATCTGGTGGCCGATAGAGAGTTTCATGCTGGATACGGGCTCTGCACCGCATGTGGAATGCTCAGATGCAGTCCCGTGTGGTGCATAAGGAACTATCCAACGGATGGACGAGTGACGATAATAAACTTGACGACTTTATTAAGAAATCGCAAATGCAAACAAAGTCGGCGAATGAGGCTTACTTGGAATGGATTCCATTTAGTTTTATTCGGTTTGGACAATATGGAGTTTACTTGAATGGGCTACCTACACGTAGTTATGTGAAATTGATTCCATTTGAGACGGGTGATCTTGACAAGGTAGAAAACTATTTAATACATTATTTGTGGTCGTATAGTTAACGGTATGGGAGGACAGTGAGGGGAAAAAGAATGGTGCCTCAAGTATAAAGTCGCTCATTCGGGAGCGCGATGGCTGATATCGGTATACACTGTTTCACTAGCTACACGAAACGCATTCAGATCTTCTTAGCGCAGATATGTGGATTAGTATTGGATTCACGTATGACACGAACCGAGGACAATATTATTTGATAAAGGAAAAGGATGGAGAGAAATTGTGCCTGGCGTGCACGCAACGATTACTATTTAAGGTGGACGCATTTTGTTTCGATTGCAAGAGACCAAGACCCCTTGACTGGACTACCGGCAACAAGTCTTTGGATTCGTTCATCACGAAATCATGGCACGCTATGACGAATCATACTGATTCGTACATACGATGGATCGAATATTCTCAATTGAGGAACGTACGAGAAATGGCCTCGTTACATCACGGATGCACGCATTCGGCTGATTGGTCAGAACCGGCGAATAATAAATTAAGAAGCGTGACGCTCAAGAAGGTGGTCGACGGCCAGATCGGTCAAGATTTTGACTTTTATCGGGTAAGTTAATTTACCGTGTAAACTTTTATAGCTATTTAAGATATTGCTATCAAAAAGTGTGTACTCAAAGTCGATGTTTATTGTAACAACAGTTGCTCGAAGATTACCCAAAAATATTAACACCCGATAACATTTGGATAATTGGTGTTACTCAACAACCAACTACCAAAGACTATTTTTTGGTCTTTTATCCAGACGTGCGGATGATATTGGATGAAATCTTGCAAGAAAACTGGGCAGTAAATAACATACCCTACGACAAGTTTGAGAACATTGAGAAGATTGATTCCGGTGGTTGCGGCACGATCCATCGAGCCCGGCTTGGTGGAGGCTTTGTTGTTCTCAAAGAATTCAAACGTTTTGCCGAAACGTCGGAATTATTTATTTCTGAGGTGGGCAATCTTATTATATTATTTATTTAATGAATAGATTGCATGCTAATATTCCCCCTGCGGTTGTTGCTTTGTCAAATTCAATTGATAGTTTCGGAACAATATCAAGTGTTGGGAGGGGTATCCATTTCTTCGAATTTATGGGATCACACAAGACCCAGAAACGACAGAGTATATGATCGTTATGCAGTATGCTAAAGATGGTGATCTCGTCTCCTATTTAGGTCAGAACATTGCTAAATTGACATGGAGGACGAAATTGCAGTATTTGAAAAACATTGCACATAGCCTGTCTATTATTCATTTAATGGGGTTAGTACATTGTGACCTCCATGGCGGAAACGTAGTCGTAGATGGTGACAGAACGTTCATTGGTCTCTCTCAATCGGTGGCGTTTGAGTCACCTTCAACCATTCGAGGCGTTTTGCCTTTTATCGCACCGGAAGTTTTCGACACTCGCAAACATAGTCAAAAAGCAGACATATTTGCGTTTGGCATTATCATGTATTTGATGGCCACTGGTGAACCGCCGTTTAGAGATAGAGAATTTGACAAGAATTTGGTATGCGATATCATGGGTGGACTACGACCGCCGATGCCTGATTCAGCACCGGAGGAATACAAAGAAACTTGCCGGGCGGTGTTGTCATGAGAACCCTAATAAGCGTCCAGATGTGTGGGCACTTTTGGAGGTTATTGGCAATCTTGTTAGAACGATAGAAAAGAATAATGTGTGGGACACCATCTATTACAACAACGTAAAGCCCTTATCAAGTTTCGAAAAGGAAAGCCGATATACCAGTAAGATCTTATTTGCACCGGGCCACGGCTTTGGTTCAGTTCCAGGTAAAAAAGGCGGTTAATTGTATGTTGAATGTTGCTCAAATTTAAATATATTTCCTTTACTAATAATCAATGTTTTATTCTTAATAATTCAGTGACTCACAGCTTACTTATTATGACTAGTTTATAGTTAACGGAACTTTGTATTTATTCTGTTTGACCTAACGCGTTGGGTTAGTGAGTATGTTTACAATATACTAATTGTATTGCTATAAATGATTCAACTAGCTATAAATTATTACCTAAAACGCGGCTTTCTTATAAAAGTTAATATTTTTTTGGACAGTTGCGTAGTTAGAGCACTTTTTTTTCCAAGATTTATTCATTAAATCTTTAGTAATTGCTATACATCTAATATGATTCATGTCACCAGGACAAACTAATAATACACTAAAATATATAATTAACTGAATATAATACATCCAAAGCATTATCATATATGTATTCAACTAAACAAGACATGATAAAATGCGCCTTTTTATAAGTAATATCTATCTGAAATATCTCTTCTAAACGCTTTTTTTTTATACTAAGTACATCATACAATCGATATTTTAATGGTTTAAATTTTTCTCCTGCCTTTAAATTGTCCTCCAAAAAGATAATAATCCCCGTCTTTTGACTACATACCTAATAATAATCATTACCACATACACATTAAAAACTACATACATTCATGATCGACTAAGACAATAACTTGAATTAAGAAAAAAAAAACAACGCTATTGATACACTCGATATAACCACGACTCCAATCATCACTCGTCATCCAAAGACATACATTTGTCAAACAATCCGAATTTCCTTCTGGTGCTTCCAACCCGTCTTAGACTTTGTTCTCTCTTCATTCTTGCTGTCTTCCTTTTTTCCGTAGTATCCGAATCACCATCATCACTTTTGCCTTCACTACGCTTTTTTCCTTCAAGTGCGCTGTTATTACTAATATTTACATCTTCAGTTATTGTACCGTCTTCATCAACAGACATTTCTTCGCTTATCTCTTCCCTTCCTTTGGTGATAATCCAATCATCCAATTTATCCCCACTATTCCCCCTTCTACTTTCTCCTCTTTCTTTTCCGTATCTCGTTTCACCATCACTGTCCTCTCTTCCATCCTCTATCTCAATCTTACCTCTCCTTGTACTAAACAATAATTGTCTTAACCGACCCTTTTTCCTATATTTCTGTTTGCTTGAGAAACATTTCATTGGTGCATTCGTATCAGTACTAATCGGACGGGCGGTTGTGGAGACTGATGTGCGTGTTGGTGATGGTGAGCGAACGGGAGTTTCAAATGTTTCTGACGTCGGGGAAGCGGGTGTCTTTTGTAGACTTGGGTTTTGGCGCTGCATATATGAGATTTAGTGAGACGCGCATGAGATTTTAGGGAATACAAATGCTAGAGTAGATGAAATAAAAGAGGTCAATACCGTTCTTTCTAACTCTTCTAGCTCTTGACGAAGGCTTTCGTGCATCGTCATGCGGTATCTATCAAACTTTACAACGAATGTGATGAACGGTAAAAAATGAAAAGAAACGGTATCAGTAATAAAATCAGATCATATGACATCGGCATCAATTCACAAACATATCTCCATGTAATCTGAAAAAACAGCAATCGCCTCAGATAGAATATCCTGTTCCCCATCACCATCGCCAAGCTCTTACCTGTGCTATCAAATCTGCCGAAAAGTTGTACGCGTTTCTATCAGATAAGGGATAAAAACCAGAAAATAGTCCTGTCTTCCTAGAGCTCCTGCGAGGGTATGTGTATGAGGTAGATGATTCTCCGTAATAATAATCGGGGTTTTCATCGTTCGATTCAATGTCAATTGATTCATTTTTCTCCATGTTTGGTTCTTCGGCGCTCAGATCTTGTGTGTCAGTGTCATAGATGTTTATATCCTCTACGCCTTTTTCTTTATCCACGTAGCGTTCACCCAGACTTTCTCTGTCCGCGTTGTCGTCTATGTCCACAAGTTTTCCGAATATGTAATTCTCCTCCCTCAAAGTCTTGGTGGAAGACTCGGCGATTGAGTCGAGAGTGCTCCCTTGTATTGTCCCATCTGTTGCCGAGAGTGTCGACATTTGGATCTCGGTTCTACGAGTTCTTATATGTCAGCTCGGGATTTGACAGTTGGAGGAGCTGAAAGGATGAGTGGTTAAGGTATCACCGAGTCTTTATGTAATAGTGTGGCTACGTGTGAAAAGATCGAAAAGGCGTATATATGTGTGTTGCGTTTAGTATGATAGGATTTGAGCAAAAGATATGCGCGTTGCAATAGGAATTTTTGACCACTAATCGCGTGAAAGAGAGCAGAACCCGCTTGTGAAAAAGTAGTTGGGAGAGTGTTTAGGATATGAGCAGCTGGGGGTTGGGGCGAATAGAGCGACAAGACTGTATGGAAAGTGGTATAAAAAGGTTTTACTTTTACGTATTGTACACTATTATTGGGTTGCTTTGCTACTTTAGTCGTTTGTTTATAATTCCCATATAACCAAACTAACCATAAATACGAACCGAATTTAAATAATAATCAAAACAAAAGTGTATCCGAAAAGTATAGTTTGAACTCTAGTTAATAAATATCGACAAACTCTATTCTATTTACTTTCTTCTATTTCTAAGAATTCGCGTGCGTGCTCTGTGTCTATATCTCTCTTTCCATTGATGACAGTGACAAAGAATTCCTATTACAACAATTATTCCTGAATAATGTATATGGGAATTTTGGAACTTGCCAAAATATTGAAAGAAACAAATAAAGAAATGTGTATATATATATGTATAACTATATATATACGTTGTTTAGGGGGGTGGGGGAGGAGGAAACAGAAAGAAGACGGAGAATGTGGATTAAGTTGAAAAAAAAACGAATGGGTAGCTTTTGAGTTAAGATGGATGGGTCGTTCAATCATATGCAGGTTGACGGATCACTGCATGTCACTGCATAAAGGGAGCATGCTGCAACATAACCAAATTCCTAGCAATCAATCATCTCACGCCACTTCAGGGGGTCTTCAACCTTCTCATTGGTCACTGTTTGCCTATAAAGATTTTACTTTGATCAACACTGCAGTCAAATGAAAAAGGTTTGGATTATTACAGTACGAACTTATTCATATGCCCGTTTATTGTCAAACATTGTCGTTAGGTTTTTTTTATTAACCATAAATGCTCCGTAATGTAGATCCCTAATAAAAATTAACAAGTCTTAACTCTGTGACAGTAAAACGACAAGACTACTAGGCTTTATTCATATGATTACTGGTCCCTACGACGGCTAACTTTATATTTACCACACGAGCCTATTCCCAATGATGGGAAGACATCGAATTATTGGCAATTGTCACAACAGCGACACACCAGACAAAGTGAACATTTTACTAGGTGAGCTAAAAGAGGCTAATTTATTCCATGTGTATGCCCAATGTGCCTAATTCTAATACTCTACTTAATTAAATAAAACTGATACAGTTTTTAACAGCACATCTAATATAAAATTATTTCTATATAATATGAATTTTACATTAATTCACTATTACTATTACTATGGAACCAAAAAAAAAAAGTACAGAAAGATGAATTCTAGAAAACGAACGAGAGAGAATTGCTCCCATGTTTTAGAATTCACAATAACAAATTCGCCAAGAATATTTACATAAAAGTTTACTTACAAACTTATCAGCTATAGAGAGCATTACAATAAAGAGCATTGGTGCACTTATGATGAGTGAAATATAAAGTAAAGAATCTAAATCGTTATTTTTTTATTTGAAACATTATGAACTACCATTTGATGAGTCGCAGGAGCTGTATCAAAGTTAATAGTCAAAATCTATTACATTTTTATTTGTCATCATTGTATTATTATTATTTCACAGAACACTAAATTCTAATCTCATATAAATTACTTTATTTTTTAATCAATAAAAATCTTGAGTTTACATTTACATAATAATTTTTAAGTAAAGTTAATAATTTTCCAGTTGTTAAATAATTACCTTTGCTTTTAATTAACAAACTATTTTGCAATTATTTGCTCTATAAGCTTGCCCGCTGTAGCATTGTGCTTTAACGCTACTTCAGACATTTGGGCTCTTTTTACTTCATGACTGCACTCCGGTGCTTTCTCAGCTTCTTCTCACTTTATTTTTACTTTATTTCCTAGCCTTAGTTTTTGTTTCTAGTTCTTTTCTTTTGCTCAGTAAGTAAAATTAATATTAAAATCTTAATGTTCGTGCTTGTTCACAGAAACTTTCTCAGGAGTAGCGTTATTGCTCAAAACAATTTCCAATTTAATTTGTTTTTTGTAATAACTTATTTACCCTGCCAATGTCCTGATTATCTGTCATTTCTACCATTAATAAAATTCAGGAAACAAATTTTTTGTCAAGTAAATGGTTTAAGAGTCGTACTATCCTGAACTTTTGTAACTCTGTGAACTACCATTAAATTCTTATTTTAAAGTTTTTTTCTCTATCTGCTAGCTTTTCGTTTTATTCTAATAATTTAAATTCTATATTTCTCTGTTCGAGCTCTGCTATTATTACGTTTACCATGCTTTTCTTATTATTATTGTTTTACATGCTTAAACCTTCTCATAAACGTATATTACGTATATAAATGGTTTATAATTCTTTTAATGTAAACTTTAAAAACCGGGAAAGGTTAACAACATTTGTAAAAAGATTAAATTTATTAATTTTAATATTAGTAACAGTAGAAACCAATTGACGAGTAATGAAAGACTTTTATTCACCGAGTATAAATTGGTTGTAAATTTTAAGTTTTTGAATTTATTTTTAACGTGTGAGCGAACATTATGATATAGACATTCTTGCCTTTTGTAATCCAAAAAGAAGGAGTTGGCACCAGAATGGAAAAAATTTTGATTTTTTGGGTAATTTTAAAAACACTTGCCGTTCTAGGTTCATTAGATTAAATTCAGTATATGTACCATAGACTGCTTTGAATACAAAGTGCTGATACTTTTGCAAACGACTCAATTTTTTTAACACATATTAAGGTCTAAGTATTAGAAACCTTTTCCCGTTGTCATAAACACAACGTTGAATTTTATTTATCCCCCTGTCCTTAACAATAACAATATGATTTACATAATCTACAGGCCGCTTTGCAATATTGTTTCTACAATACCATCATACTTTGTCATACTTTGAAGTTAGTATGTCCAGGAACCGTGAAATTAAGTTCAACGCTTTCGACGACCTCTTACTAGATAAAGTAATAGACAAGATAAATAGTAGCTTGATCTTTAATCTGACCACCGGCATCATCAAAATACTGTATTCCTTTGACGTGTGTACCAGGGTACTTTTGTGAGTAATATTGGTTACATTAAGACTGTATCTCGATTTTTTAATTTACAGCCGGGACAGCCATTATAAAATGTTCTTTTATAGAATTTATTAATCAGCCAGATTCCATCTTTAGAAGATGTTGTTCCGTTATACAGTTTAAGGGCATTCTGCGCATACGCCTGGAATTTCCAAATGTTCAAGGTGATGGATAAGATGTGTTTGTCTATATTGACAGATTAAATATGGATACCTTCTTTTGATGAAAATATCAATAAGATATTCAGATATTAAAGAACATGATAAAGCATTAATATACAGTACATATTTGTCGATAAGAGTGAATGAAAGTGAATTTTATACAAGTCAACCCTTATTCAAACGTTATGTTTATATTGTAATTTATATAAGAAGGTTTTTCGAAAGACGAGAGAAAGTTTTTTTTTCAGGACGGAAACGCGCAGTTCGTTTTGAAATCTAAGCTTCACGTCCTTTTGTATTACATTTCCCGCCAGTTAAAATCATGTTCATCGACACGGACGCCACGTGATTATAAATATGCACGACAAATTTCCTCGTGAACTGTGAAAAAAAGAAAAAAAAGAAAAGCATACCTGTGTTTACACAGTTTGCAAAATGTTGGTCGCGCTCCGTTCTTCAAGAGTCTCCAAGTATGTTATTCAGATTTTAAACTTTATTATGAGGTTGAATTAGTGATGGAAGGAAAGATCTTCTCATTGGTTTAGAGTAACATTAGTGTTTCCCGGTTGCAGTTTTGGTCGACTTTACACAATGAATCAAGAAAGGTTCGTTCACTTACTCGCTTACAAGGTGCATATTGTAGCTTGAACGAAGCTTACTAACTTATTTTGATAGTACTCTACATTTACAAAACCTCATAAAACACGCGCCTTTATATGCACGGGCTTGCTTCACAACAACGTCAATTTGGGTCGTTGCTTTATCATCAACCAGACCAAATCCTCTGATATCCTTGCACAAATTCGATGCTACACCACGCCGACACCAGATTCCGAGACATTACAAAGTTCAGCGACCATTGGTGACGACGCGCCAGAGTTAATACAATTGGCACCCACTACGTCTTTATCCTTGTCTGATCCACCGGATTCCCAAATCCTCGAATCAACCGTTTCGGTGGCTGCTGATCCCATTACAGCGGACGTTATCGCCGATGCTGCTTTGAAAATTGGTGACTTGAAGGCAATGGGACTCGTTCATTCAACGCCCGTTGGTTTGGTGGAATCTTTGGTCGAAGCTATTCATGTTTATTCTGGTTTACCCTGGTGGAGTACTATCGTGGCGCTGAGCGTAATTGTCAGAGTCGCTTTGCTACCGCTGAATATAGCTTCCGCGCGAAACGTCGCCAAGATGGCCATAATACAACCGAAGATTCAAGCGCTGATGGAGCAAGTAAACGAAGCAAAGAAGCAGGGTGACCAAGCAACTATGTTAACAAAATCGCAGGAAACGGCAGAAATTTTCAGAAAAGCTGGTGTTAATCCATTCAAGAACTTTTTTATTGCCGCAGTTCAGGCGCCGATAATGATTAGTATATTTCTTGCCATAAGAGATATGGCTAGATTCCCTGTACCGGGATTTAAGACAGGTGGCGTTCTTTGGATTCAAGATTTAACTCTTCCAGATCCGTACTATATCTTACCGATTGCGACTGCTGTTGGGTTCCTGGCTGTTTTGGAAGTAAGTACAGAAACTTTGTCTGCCGTCGTGTGGTTAATCTTATAACATCTGTAACCATTTATACTGTAGACCGCCGAAACAAATGCAGCGCCGTCAGGACAGGCGCAAAAACTCAAGAATACGTTTCGTTTCGTAGCACTGCTTGGGATACCTTTTGCTTCGTACTTACCTGCAGTTAGTATTGTTACTGTTGAATTGTTGATCGATATCCGGTTGTTCACGTTCTAACTCGGATGTCTTTTATTACTTTGCCAGGGATGTCTTGTATTCTTCTCAACGAATTCCGCTTTATCCATAACGCAGACATTTCTGCTGAGGAACAAGGCTTTTAAGCGTGCGCTTGATATTCCAGAAGTTCCCAAGTATGTCGTGTCTCCAAAACCGTCACCAACACCACAGAAATCATTCCGTGAACAGTTTCAATCATTGTACGGTGACAGTCAAAATTTGCAGAGAAGGCAACGAAAAAGAATTTAAACTTCGTGTACTTAATAAAAAAGTTCGGTTGAAAATAGAGTTTAATTGATTTGAATTGATCACAAATGTTACATTTTAATATCGCCTTCGTGTTGCTTGCTGTTAAGAAACATTCTGATGGACAGTCAAGTGTCAAAGCATGGCGTATATGAATTATAGAGAACGTCTTAGTAGCTATTCCAGGCTTTTCTTTTTATTAAGAAGCATGGAAGATCGGTAGTTCGCACATCGCCTAAAAGAACGCTTGTAGATTCGGAACTTTCGTTACTGCGACTACAGACATGCTTTGCAGAGTAAGTGATTATTGAAAATGACTTTTGATTATGATTAGACTTTCCACGCCCGCATTCCCTAATTGTAGTTAGTTAATTCGCTACAAAAAAAAATATTTTGCAGTATGACGACTATAATAAACATAAGGATCTGTTGTCAGGCCACTAAACTGTTTGTGCGTTTGATTTCGGTGGGAATTGGTCTTCGCTTTGTTCAATTTCCAGCTTGTAATGGAATACTCGTTTTGATGTAGCATATTCCGGTGTCTAGGCTCTTCTTAAATTAGAATATCAAATTGACAAGTCTTGAAGATCGAAAGCTGATTTATGAGAAATGGGATTCGGCTCTTCCAACTCTGATATTCTCCTTCCTTCCATGTTGAATTATAGAACCAGTTGTCGACATACAATGTACAGAACAGATCTTTTGAATTAGCAAAATTAGCCACGTTCAATCAGTGGCTCTGAATAAGTTGACAAGACAATACCTTTGGTTTGCCGCCAATTCTTTTACTATTATAATTAGGTAGGATAATTGCCCCGGTATTAAACTTAATAGCATCACAAATGTTGGTTCGATGATATTTGCTGATAATTGCTTAGTTTCAAATGTCTAATATGACAACTCAATCTTCGTCTATTAAATTTTCACTTTCCTCCTTTTCTTTTGCCCAATTTAATTTATGCAACCCGTATACTGCTTTGGTGTGGTGTAAATTATAGTCATTGAATTACCATTCTCAAATTGCCAAAGACAACTTTCGCTGAGTATATTATGTTATTCAGCAATCGATCAACAAAAGTTGTGTTCGCGTCTCAAGGTTTACATTACACATGAACATTCTACTACACCGGCAATAGGGCTGCATGCAGGAGTGTTAGTCACATGTATATAGAAACATTTAGAAGGATTGTTTTCGAGACGGGATATTCACGTGCCTAAAATTATATACCGTATCGACATACACTCTAATAATAACAACTATAAATGTGAACATAGGGATACCAAATACGTGAAGCCTTTCTTTGTTGACTTGCATCTATCCTATAAAACGCAAAGTGTCTCATGTACCAGTGACTGTATTGTTAGGTGAAAATGACCAACTCAAGATTTTCCATTGTTGAATTGATTGCTGTATTGTTTACTCAAATAGCTTAGCTAAACTCGGAAATACCCGACAATACGTGGGGGTGCTGCGTGTGGCTCTCTAACTTGATATTGCATCAGTTTAACTAAAATTGGGCAATTATCTCATTGTATTTTTTTGAAGCCATAGTAAAACAATTGGAAGAAAATGAGTCGTGAGAACCAACGATACTTTATTTTCGCTTCTTGGAAAAATGGCAGAAATACAACTCAAATCCATGAAGAGTTGGTGAACGTAGAAGGGGAACAAGCATTATCTATCAGCACAATTAGACGCTGGATTGCTACATTCGGAGAAGAAGAAATTAAAGACAAGGCTCGTTCTGGCGAAGCAGAAAAAATTGCCAGTCGAGGATCTTGTTAGCAACGGCCTGCACATTTCTACTATAGAATTAGCTAACAAAGTCGGTATTTCCCGTGAAAGAATTTCTTCCATTTTGCATGACGAGCTGAGCCTCCACAGACGGGTCGTGTCGAAATTTCCAAGCAATTATTAAAATTTTTAGACCGAGGGTACAGAAACATTATTACTGGCGATGAAACATGGATATATTTCTTTATTATTTCAAATAAGGAAGCGAATATGTCATGGGTAGAAAATGGGGAACAGACCACAAATAGTGAAGATGGCTCAAAATTCGAAAAAAAGAATGTTTTGCATATTTTTTTCTGTATTTAGAACTTTATGGAAAAAAGGGGTAGAACGACTGTTCGTGACATCACAACAATTGCCGCACCACATAAGGAAAGGAGTATCTTCATAATGAATGAGTGGAACTTCTTCCCCACCCACCATCCTAGCTCCTTGTGATTGTTTCTTATTCCCTCGAATCAAAAAAGAACTGAAGGGAAAAAGATTTAATAAGGTCGAAAATCTGTTCAGGCAGTTGTTGAAGATGTCCCAAAAGAGGACTATGAGAACTCATTTATGGAGAGTACTTTGGCTGTCAATGATATCAAGAAACTTTCACAGAAACGTCGCCCGCCGCCTATATAATATGACAGCGAAGCCGACTGAAACGCTCTCGCGGGCTGGTGAGTGAAGTATTGTGTCTCTTTCTCATAATGTGGAACACTAGAACCAAACTATATTCCATTTCAGATCTCGGTAATATCTGGGACATAATTAAGGCTTCTTTGTTTATGATACACGAAGTTAAAACCATGCAAGGACAAGTGAAGACAGACATCCGCTAAGTAAGCTTTTGTGGGGAAAAAGAAAAGACTTTCCAAGACTTTGTGAGTAAATCAGCTGTGGGGGAGTCTGCACGGGAGTCAAAAATCGGACGTGTCGAGGCGAGGATAGACGGATTAGAGAAAAGAATAGACGGAATAGAGAAAAGAATGGACGGAATGGAAGTAAAAATGAACGAATTAGATAAGAAAATGGAATGGAGAAAAGAATGGACGGAATGGAAGTAAAAATGAACGAATTAGATAAGAAAATGGAATGGAGAGGAGAATGGACAGAATAGAAGCGAAAATGGACGAATTAGATAAGAAGATGGAGAGGAGAATGAGATTACTCTTGAAACTACAGAATAATATACTGATAAGGATGAAGAATATATACAGTACCTCTGTTAACATCTCGTCATTCCATAGACAATCTAGAATCAGACATTGCGCAGGATAAAGAGGACACCAGCATGCGATGTATCTCTTGGCTGCAATAGAAGAATGATAATAAATAAACAAGACATGCTAATTTAAAGTAAATTATTCAACGTACTGATTTTGATAACGTATGAATATGTACGGTACCCATGTTATATAGTACATTTCTTTCGTCCAGTTAAAAATGAGATTGCTTGAGCATATTTGAGAAGTTTGGCATTCAGAATACCGCGTGGCTGGAGCATACTAAATTTCTGAAATTAAGCCATTTGTTTGGGTCGTATGACATACGCCAGTGTGTGGCTTTATTATTATCATGTAGATTGACTTTTCAAGAGTTGCTCCAGTCATTTTAAGCCAGCGTTAGTACAAAAAATTGCCCCCCGTGCTCAATTTTTTCCAAAAATTTAGGCGGGCAAATTTGCCCGCTTAACGGTTTAAGAGATAAATTTCTCGCCAAATATCTTTGAAATGAGTAGCATAATTGAACTGCTTTCTGATGTTTTATCAGATTATGAAAAGCTTTATGAAAGCGAAAAATATACCGACCTCCCAATTCATGTCGGCCAAGAGCCAAGCGATAAGATATTTTTTGCTCATTCCTTGGTCCTTTGTACAAGGAGCGCATATTTTGAAGACAAACTGACTGGAAACAATGAAATTCAACACAGTGCTATTGCATTTGAAGACATGACACCCGAGATTTTTGAAATTTTGCTTAGGTGAATTTGATGTGAATTCGCAAATGGTTTTGGCGGTAATGAGCATATGTTGTATTACCATCAGAACTGCCTAGATATCAATACTCACAGATATTGTTTGCATTTTGTAGGTTTATTTACACAGGGAAAGTGTCTTCCCGATTATGTGAGAATGTGTCTTGGGTTGTTCTTTTGGAAGGGGCTATTAAGCTTAAGTTGAGCACTTTCTGTACGGCGATTGGAGATTATTTGATCAAACAACATGAGGAATGGATAAAGCAAAACATTATCACAGTTCATAACTTGGGATCGACCACAGACTCGCTACAAAAAGCTCGGAGATTATTGCGTTCAGCTTATGTTATCATCACCAGATATCATTTTCAAATCTAATAATATAGTAGATTTACCAAAAGCGACCTTCATTAGTCTTCTCCAAAATGATGAGTTTAATATGGATGAAGTTGATATTTGGTTGTCAGTTGTACAATGGGCGATTAATCAGATTTCTGGGCTTTCAGACAATCCAACTGATTGGTCATCTAACGATGTTAATGCTGTCAAGGACATAATAGCAGAATGTGTGCCTCATATAAGATTTTTTAACATTTTATCGGAAGAACTCAGTGAAAGGGTTATTGCATACATGGACCTGTTACCGAGAGAGTTACGATCTGATCTACTTTGTTATCACCTGCATAAGAATTATAAACCGAAAACACAAACCTTGCTATTACCAAAGAGAAAAAGACAACTATTTGACGTTGATTCAGTTATTAACAATCAACAGGTATCGTAGATTTTTTTCTTTTTTGTATTGTTCGCTGAAGTCAGTCGTGTTTAGAATCGATGTCTTACTTACAATTAGGCGAGAGATTGTGACTCTGAAATCACACAATGGGGTGACTGGATCGAAGAACAAACGCAGTACATACCGATTCGACTGACGTTGGATGAACGAAAATATCTGAGACTGTGGGTATTTGGTCACACTTCTGAATTATTATTTATGTGCTAAGAGGATTTATTGTATTTAGAAGTTAATTGCCGTTGAATTAGTGTGCTAATGAATGTGATCATTGGTAAATGTATGGTTTAGATTAGAGGCAGCGCTGAATGTATCAGGTCAGTTGTTTGTATGATTGATCGATTATCTCACTTAAGGGCTATTTGGCTAACATCTAATCGTTCTGACAGAATATACGGATAAAATCGATATAATAACGTACAGCAGTAAATCTAAACGGGTTATGCAGCAGATTAAGGAGCTTTGTGGGATTCTTTCTGGGCTTGTGGTGTGCATGCGTATCCAAAATTGGCTGTTTGGTAGTCGTAAATGTTGTAATAGATAATCTTATTTGAATCAATAGGTTGCAAGGTAACCATCACGTATTGTCAGCAAGTATAATAATGTTGAATCAGTCTAATATGCAGCTGACTGTTCATAGCGACCATAAGAGAGGTCAAAAGCTGATTGTCGATAAAGACTACCGGGATAATGAAGAATTTTTCCAAAGTATTTTCGAGATTGGACGACGGCACAAAATCATGAATCCGGAAAAAATGAGAGATGTGTACGGAAACCTCATGTTTATGTTGATGGTAACTGAACTAAACTGATTTAATGATCAAGCCTTTCTATAAGCAGGTCGAAATTATTTACTAAAATAATTGGTTCGTAGGACTCGGTCACCCCAGATGTCCAAGATGCACTCACTCTCAAACTAGTTCGACCAATCAAGACCGTTCATAGCTTTCTAAAAGAGCGCGATGCCCTAAACATATTACACAACGATTTAGTAAAAATAGCGACGGCTGAAATTATTTCAGAAGATAAATCACGATCAAAGATTCAGCAAGAAATCCGAGAAAAGGAACGGGCTATCAACCTTCTGAGTAACAAATATGCCAAGCCTGGTCTATTGGAACCCGAAGAAATCCGACAATGTTTGTATAGCATTGGTGACAATCACGCCTATTTAAGAGCGAATCGGTGAGTGACGTTTACCGACTAACCTGTTTGAGCAGTTGGCAAACTTTTTTGTTATTCCGATCATGTTGCTAACTTAAAAAATATTTATTTGTCTACAGAGATTGTTGCGATCGTATGCTTGGCTACCTAACAAAGTATTTTGATCCTCATCAAATCGAAGATAATTATTCGCTTGCTATACAGACGGATGTTCACGGTGCACGGTTGTCACATAGCCATGAAATGCAGTATTATTACGTGTAAGTAAAATGGATATTAAGCATAGAATGTGGCACAAAGACATAACAAATAACTGAGAGAAGTAATTGTCAATTTCTCTTGTTGATATAACTATCTTGGTTAATGTTCAATCTTCCATGTGTATGTTATTTGGACCTTTGTATTAGAGACCGAACACTGGTTCTTTGGCGAGAAATCCAACACGAAATGTTCAAACTATGGATGATGGCTGATCATGACATGCTTTCCGAATACAATATGTACCGGCTCCGTGATACTGGCCGAGGTCTAATACTAAGCAGAGTACAGGGATGCTCAAGCGTGTCAAAAGTAGTCCAGTCTATTTTATGTAAGGCTAAGCAAACTACAAGACTTTGGGTTGGGAGCTCGGCTATTCATTTGGGCGACAAGAACGTTCCGAACGCTATTGAGTTTATTGACAAAGTACGTAAACAAAGAAGTACCAGTGATCTTTTGCTGGCACACTTTTCACGTTCAACCATTTTATTTAATGGGTCTTCTAATGGATTCTCACTATTGACAGTACAATCAAGTGCCTCACATCTTGAATCCCATGCTCACATGCCTTGATAACATATCGAAATTGGCCAGAGAAAACCAAAGCATTGACGACTACATAAAGGCGACCTTTAATGATGTTGAGACGTTGAAGAAGGACATTCTTGTTGATTTCTTCCGCTATGCTTTCGATGGCAACGGTGCGGATAACTTTTTTGATGCTAATAGTTGTATTGACGGACGTTTGACTAGTGCTTGGAATTGGTGTTCTCAGATCGAGAAGAAGAAGTTTTTCCCCGTGTTCTTGTTAACGGTATGCTCGCATAATTGATGAACACGGTTTGCTATGAATTTTCTGCATTATGAGTTTGACTGATGATGTAAACCGTTAACAACTGCAGGGCTTTGTTGGCTTTGATGGCGGTGATTTTTGAGGACATTTCTGGCTTCTCACACATTATTTACTTCATCTTTTACTTTATATTTTTTTTGCTGTTGTATAGTGCGGATTAAATTAATGGAACGAGTGTCATCAACTTCATTACCGATTGCAGCATCAACCGTGATAATAATAATGTACACCCATGTCTTCCTACAAAGGCTGCGTAACGTCCAATTTTTATTCCGGTATCTTATTAACCCAGCCACGTTGACATGTATGGAAGCATATCATATTTAATTATTCAATCAGAAAAAGAAATCTTTGAATTAAACTCTTACAAACTGTAAATAAACCGCAAAGTCCAAATTTTTCAAAAAAGAATTCGAGTTTCTAAATTGTAAAAAATGGATTGCGTTAGCATTATGAATTAACTTCATTTGTATCAAACGTGCAAACATACCTGCAGCTGAATCCAAATCACAGCTATTTCTCGGTTTGGGTAATTCTCCAGTAGGTAAGAGTTTACTAGAGTATTTACTCTCTTTCTCGAGACGTGATAACGGCTTTACATCATTATGATATATAGTATTCCACACGTTGTCACTAGATTTAGCCTTTCCTATTTCGTCAATAAGCTCTTTAATGTCACGACAAAGTGTCAATCCATCCTTTGGACGCTTATCAGGATCAGCATCACAACACCGCTCGGCAAGTTTCTTGTATTCCTCTGGCGCAGAATCAGGCATCGACGGTCGCAGTCCCTCACAAACACGTATCGCCAAACATTTGTCAAACGACCAATCTCTAAATGGTGGTTCACCAGTAGCAATCAAATACATAATGATACCAAATGAATACACATCCGATTTCTGAGTAAATTCGCAGGTATGGAAGACTTCCGGTGCAATAAAAGGCAAAACGCCTCGAATGGTTGAACTTGACTCGCGTGAATTCACTGATTGTGAAAGACCAAGATCGCATATATATGATTTTATCTCACGCGTATTGTCATCCATGTGGTCATGCATAACAATGTTTCCACCATGCAGATCACAGTGCACTAATCCCGCTTCATGAATAAAATACAGATAAGCTGCAATACTGTGCAAACGCCGTAATTTATCCAACCACGTCAATTTGTTAATATTTTTCACCAAATAAGACAAAAGACTGCCATTGTTAGCATATTGCATAACAATCATGTACTCTTTTGTCTTTGGGTCTTGTGTCACTCCATAAATTTCAAGGAATGGTGAAAGCGTGCATTTGGCATGATTTCTGAACTATTAAATAAATAATAAATAAAATCAGCTTAAATATCAATTTAATTAATAGTACCAATTATTATTATTATTGCTCACCTCGGAAATAAAAAATTCCGGCATTTCATCAAAATTTTTAAATCGTTTGAGTACAACAGTTTGTTGCATACGCTTTCTTTCAGAATATTTTTTATATTTGGCAGTATATACTATTCCGTAACCGCCAGATCCGATCTCTTCAAGTTCATAAAAGTCACTATACGGCATATGCTTTACATGTTTATTGCTTTGTATAAATCTGTCCAATATTGCGTTTATGTCGTAGTAGAAAACTAAATAATATTCCCGTGTAGATGGATCCTGCGTGATCCCAATTATCCAAATATTCTCAGGGGTTAACAT